TACAGAAATTTCTGTATCTACTCAATGGCCAAAGACCATCATTCATCAGTGACTGAGTTCATCCTCTTGGGGCTTACAGATGATCCGGAGTTTCAGGCCATTCTTTTTGGGATCTTTCTAATAATCTACTTAGTTAGTGTCATCAGTAATCTCGGATTGATTGTGCTAATCTTAATCAGTTCTCAGCTTCACACACCTATGTATTTCTTCCAAAGCCATCTGGCGTTTGTTGATTTTTGTTATACCTCCACTGTCACCCCAAATACACTGGGGAATTTTCTGTGTAAAATTAAAAGCATATCATTCTGTGCATGTGCTGCTCAAGTGTGTTTCTTTATCACATTTTCAGTGTGTGAACAGTTTCTGCTGTCTGTCATGGCCTATGATAGGTATGTCGCTATGTGCAACCCTTTACTCTATACAGTTCACATGCCCAGGAAACTCTGCATTCAAATGGTCACTAGCACGTACCTTTACGGACTTACTGTGGGACTTGTACAGGCAGTGACTACATTCCATTTGTCTTTCTGTGACTCCAATGTGATCAACCATTTCTACTGCGATGATGTCCCCTTGCTTGCTCTCTCCTGTTCTGACACCCACGTCAAAGAGCTGATGTTGTCAACCACTGCTGGGGTCAACATCATTTGCTCCCTTCTCATCGTCTTCATCTCCTATGCATTCATTCTCTCTGTGATCCTGAAGAAGCACTCAGCCAAAGGAAGATGGAAAGTCTTTTCCACCTGTGCTTCCCACTTGACTTCTATCACCATATTATACGGGACTTTCATTTTTATGTACGTTCAACCCAAATCTAGCTCTTTCCTGGGTAGAGACAAATTTGTTTCAGTTTTCTATGTGGTGGTGATTCCCATGTTAAATCCTTTGATTTACAGCTTAAGAAATCAGGAGGTAAAAACTGCTCTAAAGAGAATTCTAGAAAAATTTCCTTTAAGGGCTGGCTGGTTAGCTTAGTTGGTTGGAGTTTGGGGCTGATAACATCAAGCCTCAGGGTTCAATCCCTGTACCAGCCAGCTGACGACAAAAAAAAAAAAAAAAATCCTGTAAGTATTGACAAATGAATCGTGTTGTCATTAAAATAAATTAGAGTGAGTAAGTCTAGATTTGTTTAGATTCGCAGTGCTAGTATCTAATGGGAAATAGAGATAAGCCCATTGTCCTTGGGCCTAGTTTCCTGGTTTTTCAAGCACAGAGACTTATTGTGCTCATTGTTTTACCTTCAGAGGTATGCATATAAGGTTTCATAATGATCTTCAGAACAGTTTTTCCAAAAAAGAGAGGCAACTCACTGTGTACTTGCTGACTTTAAGATTAAAAAAAAAAGTAATAAAAAGTACAGCAATTTGAAATAATGACTTTCTTTCACATTGGCTTGAGATTCGTAGCTTTACAGTATATTGAAAGATATAAGGTGGAATAAATATTGCAATTTCTAAGTCAAATTTTATTTCATAGATGATGTTGGGAAATAGCACAAGATCTTTTACTATGAGATTTTTGTTTAAGCACTTCCAACAATTTATTGGTTGATTCTTTAAAAATCAGGTATTTTATACTTCTTTCTTCAGTTCCATAGGTTGCAATGCATAAACAAAGTCAACTTGTCAGCCAACAGATTTTGTGACATAGATTTTTGTTTTATTTCAATCCTTCAGAGTAACTTAATACCTTTTACCTATTTTTCTTATTTGTATAATGTTGTGTAGTGTAAACCATATGGGTTCTCCATTCAAACAGTGACCTTCAAACTCACTCTGGTTCTATGTTACCATGATCTAATTTCTTCAATATTAAAACAGTTGCTTTATTAAAGAAAATAAATCAGTATAAAGGTAAAGGATTTATTTTCTTCTTATCATTTTAATAAATTTAATATTTTTAAAAATAATACTGAAACATAAAATTTTTAAACAAATTTCTAGGTTAGTCATTTCCATATCTGATAAAATCATCTATTAATGCCCATATCTGATTATCTCCACATCTAACAACTAAAATGAATATGACTTTTCCTTGAAATAAATTAATCACATACATGTTATAATGATGAGATTAATAAACATTTTATTTTCAAGGTTGTGTTTTCAGCAGTAATTGAGCTTGCTCAGACTTGCACAGATAATAAACATTTGCTGAATGCTTATACTGTCTCAGAGATTTGGTAAACTGAGTTAAATACATTACCTCAAGTCATTTGCACAATAATAAATCAGTAGTAGGTGGCCAACTTCATTTTACAAAGAAGAAAATCAACACGGTGGACATAGTCTACACACACACACACACACAACACACACACACACACACACACACACACACATGCTTGAGCCAAGATTTGAATACCGTTTTACTTGATCCTAGAGGTCAATTTTACAATGACTTTAATAATACACTTCCAAATATTAGCTAAATTGATGGATTTTGGTTTAAAACTAAATGATCACAAAATGCCACGCAAAGATTAGATAAATTTAAAATGTTTTATAGTGTCATAAATTACTGCCAGACAGAGATGTAAGGGAACCTCAGTGTGGCAGATACAGGTGCGGTCGACCATACAGTTGCTTGTTTTACTGTGAAAGGAAATGCTCCCCACACACAAGGCAGAGAAATATTTTTCATGGTTACCTCATTAGTCCTTTCCATTTTAGTGATGTTTAGTCTAAACATCTCAAAGTATCTCAGCTTCTCACAGGACGGCATCCTCGGCCACTCTAATCAAATGAGGCCAAATTCCAAAGTAAAATGTAACCTTGGTAATTGCAATTTCCAATGTTTCTCCTTGGTAAGTTTCTGCAAGGCAGTTAACAACTCTGGGAGGTATGTTTCTAATTCATGAAATGAAACA